TTTTAGGTGCTAATGTGCAAGAGAAATATGAGCTACAACACCTGAAACATGATTGGTTTGAAAAGGTAACTGAAAACTAAAATGAAAATCAAGAGAAAACTCCCCTTTTTTCCTTTAAGCTGATCTCTTATTTGTTTGATTCTTTATATCCTTACTAACTATTTTTGGCTCCAATGTAAATTTAGTAAAATTATCAATTATTTCATTGTATATAAATTACTTTCCATAAAACCTTTAAAAGTCGATGCAGTTTCTTAGTTATTTGTTTTACCTAGAGAATTGAAATTTTGATAATTATATATAAGGTAAAGGTGATTTTTTTTCCCAAAATTTTTTTATTACTTTCTATTTTTCAACATATCATTCAACATATATTGTACTGTAGCTCTGGAAGGTCAGGAAGAAGTTTTAAATGAAAAACTTTTTTGCTTTCCTAGGATAAAGACAGCTTGAAAGTTACTGTATACATAAAAAATCTCAAGAAAGAACATCTTAATGTATCAGTGATGGAAGATGAATTGAATGTGCAGTTTGCAACAAGGTATTTATTATTTTAGCTGTAGTCAATGATATTTTTACAAATTTCTCATAGATTTCCATTGTCTGTCCTCTTATTGATCATAGATGATATCTTAAAATGTTCAAATGAAAAAATATATGTCAAATGATTTGGTTTTTTCTTTATGAATAATATTTTAGACGACATCTAAAATCAACTAGGAAAAAAATTGAAAGAAAAATTGTTTCAACTACATGATTGCTCYGTGCCCCAGCGATTCATCATTCTATTATGTGTTTGTCCTCTTATTATTTTTTTATTTCTTTTAATTTTCCAGTGATGAGAAATTTTTGAACATGTATCAAGGAACAACAGAGAATACTGTGTTTAACTGGAATGTCAAGCTAAGGTCAGTTACTATCTAGATTGACGTTAGCATTAGCAGCTGCTAGCRCATACCTCTGGTGCTTTCCATTATGGTCTGTACCAATGCTATACAATAATACAAAAACTCTTTTGGAGCTATAGAAACTGAATATACTGTATTTTAATAATATATACATATGYCATGTACACACAGTCATTGCTATCTTTTTATTATTTTGGTTGCCAGGGGAAAGATCAACAAAACCAAATGTTCCTTCAAGATTCTCATGTACATGATTGAAATAACATTGAACAAAGCAACACCTGGGAGTTGGAAATCTCTTCAACCACCAAACCTTACAGGTACTAAACAAACAGTATCTAGTGACGAAATAGAAAATATACATGCATGCRGTGATTGGCAGAACACAAGAGAAGTATTAGGAGAAACATAATACATTGCATCATTGGAAACCAATTATGAAATAGAAAGTGCATGTGCTGTCAAGATGCACATGCTCCCATCCAAACAGAGCGCAAGATTTATAACAGTTATTTATCTAATAATTATTATCTAATGGACATATATGCTTTGCATTAGCTTCCTTTAAATCATTAATACCTCCAACATGCATGGCCACTCCTGACTCTCCTGGGAATAGTTGCAAATTTTATAATAAATAGATAAATTTTTATGATGTTTAAAGCCTTCCAAAATTACCATTTTAAGGCCTACAAGCTGAAAATAGTGACAAAGAATTCACCAAGATTATACCAGATTCTCCTATCAAACCACCTGTTAGAAACACCAATGGGGAAGCTGTTAGAAACACCAATCAGGAARCTGATCAAACTGTCCCTCAAAGCAGCTTGTCAGAAAAAGAACATAAGGTGAATGGCATCAATGAACCCAAGCATTGTAACGGCATCCCAGATAATGAGGATTCATCAACTTGGAATGGTGCTTCTGTAAATAGTAAATCTGCACCTTATGGATGTAATGGTACTCCTGCCCATCCTCCTGCACCTCCACCAACACCACCTACAGCACCTTTGATCCCTCCAACCAAATCTGGAGTGATAGGGGGTGGTAGAACACCAAGCAATGGTAGTATGCCCTTCTCAGAAGCCATACATAACGCTGCTAAAACAGGAGACGACATGGATGAAAATAACACTGATATGGACTTCTTGGCAGAGAGTTCAGTGAAGAAGGGTTTTACTGGACTGGAAAATTTAGGRAACACTTGTTATTTGAATTCCATTGTTCAGTGCTTGGCAAAYACAAGACCTCTGAGGGATTACTTTTTAAGTAAGTTGTTTGATGCTGTTTACTTTCATAATTTCAGGTGCTATATAACACGACAGCTTCACATTGGATGCATAAGGCTATTTGCGAAGACCACAGTATCATTAGTACAGGTTTAGCTCATTTATAAGTTAGCCTTTTATAGATACCATTAAGAGTCCGTGGGATTTCAAAACATTGGTATTGTTTAAGCTGCACATTCTTTACATTATTGTTATTTTTTGCAAAGTATTTGCTCTTAATCGAGGTAAACCTGTACAGATGAGTCTTTAGCCATAAAACACAGTGGTAYTTACAGAATGAGAGAAGGAACTATTGGTCAATTTGTAATTTATAATAAACAGAGACCTTGCTCTTGGTTAATTTAATCATAATTATATCCTTTGATGTGTTTAAGGTGGTGAATATGAAGATGATCTGAATTCTGAAAACCCTCTTGGCCTTGGAGGACACCTTGCGCAGGTGTTTGCAAATCTGATGAAGCACATGTGGTCAGGCAAACACAGACATGTACCCCCACAACAACTAAAGGTAAAATGACCTTGTACATGTAGAAACTCATTATTCATTTCTAGGGTCTCGGGTTCAGTTCCTGGACTTGGCAACACAAGTTGTTATTTCTACTGTATGTCTCG